GAAGAGTCCAGGCGCTAAAGAGGCCAATCTGCAGTCCAAACATGTCACCTATTGAAAACATTTGGTACGTAACAAAATGAAAAACACAGCAAAGGAGACCATGAGCTATCGAGCCACTGAAAACCTAGACCATGCTGTAAAAAGACCATAGACTGTATATACTATGGACAACTTGGTTCCGCCTCCGCCAGAATACAGAATTTGAAGCCAAAAAGCTCTCGGTATTTCTGCGACTTTTCTTCATTTCCTGAAACCAACATTGCGCAGTAGCGTTGTACGCCCTCCACTACTTGCGCAGTAGCATTGTGCGCATTCGGACATAGACAGTCTATGAATAAGACAAAAAGACATATTTTATCCGTGCAAAGCTTTTTATTCTAAAATCCAGATTTGCTTTTGTACATATCTACCATGACTCTTGGCGATGTAGCTGTAAGTCCGTATTATCTACTGCCAATGTTGTTTGCCATGTTTGTATCCATCTCCTTCTATCTGCCTCAACCCACACAGTTACAGCAGATGGCTCTGCACCATAAGTCTTGGCTCCAACTTCCGTCATTATACTAATTTGAAACCGAATTGCCCTCAGTATTTCTGGGTTTTTCTCCACTTCCTGGAATCACCACTTACGCAGTAGCATTGTACGCATTCAGTGGGAGAGTCGCTGTGATGACGCTTGGCTCAAACAGTGTATCCCCCGGTGAGCTACTTAATCTTTGTACGCCCATAGGCTGTATCAAGTGTCAATCATAGAAAACATGAACCCCCTAATAACTTTTAAAAATGAAGCTGCACAGAAAAAAGAGGACTTGAGCACAAACCAGTCTGACAGTAACTACATGTCAACATCGCTACCAGGGGGGAGAAATATTTATATTCTGTGTAATCTATCTCTTAAGTTTGTCCACAGCTCCATAGGGATCACTGAAGAAGGCGGGATTTATGACCTATACTGCAGTCTGTCACCAGAGGGTGCTGTTCTCGCTGTGGCTTCACCCAGTGAGGAGGCAGACAGCGTCCATTCTGTATAAGTCTATGGTCATTCATCTTAAAAAGAGACCTCAGACAATATTTGTTTTTTTGCCGTGTAGATTACAAATGATAAACTAACTGAAGCCATATTTCTTTCTCCATTTATCATGCAAATAAATCTAATATTGAAGACTAAGGGAGAACTAGGATTTAAAACACCCGTTTGTTTAGCAGCTCCAGTTGCAAGGGTGTGATGAGCAGTTTTTCTGTTGAATACTCAAATCTTAATGTTTATCTATGACCTCTGAACACCTGCTGTTTTTTCTTTTGCGTACACCTGCAGGAAAAAAACAGATTACTGCTGGGGACACAAGTCTGAGCACAGATTCTGGAGGTGTAATATTATCAATTTGCAGGAAATAAAACCAGTGAATTTGATACTGGGCGAGCATGAGATACCAAACGATGTGAGCTATTACAAAGAAAACAACCCTAACTGGAGTAGGCAGATAGAGCATTGTTTAATAAAGACACAGTTGCATGGTATGGAAAAAATTCAAGGGAGTTTCACTGCAACGCAACAAGACACCTGAGTCATCCTTTAGATAATGCTAGACCCTGCAGGTTGTGCTCTGCCATAACAACCAGCTCACTTCCCATTACCCCTTACATACTGTGATGGTGGAAATATCAAGGGTAGTATCTGCAGAGCCAGAGGTACAGACATTGAAACGAAAGTAGTCATAAACCAGGCTGCGTGGGCTGTCCCTGGTGCATCAATCTGGGCTACTGATATGATGAACATCTCAGCAGAGCATTATCTGCAAAATGTAGATTATCACTGAAACCCACCAGCCTGCGGACAAACAGAAAATTAGCTCTCCAAACCCTGCTGTGTGGGGAACTGAGTACAATTTCATGCATAAAAACAAACCTAAATGTGGAATTTGTTTTCATTGATTATACCCTGAATATTTAATGGAAGCAGCAAGAGATTGGTTACATAATTTAGCTAGACCACATTAAAAAACAAGTGGAGCTGTATGATGTTGGGAAATCCATCCATCTATCTGTTTTCCTTCTCCTCTGGGGAACCCACAGCCAGATAAGATCTGATATCCCTCAAACAACTGAAGCTTTCATTCAGTCAATTAGATGTTTCTACCACTGAAACGAGATATTGAAGTCGTATCACTGTTGAGATGAGACCTGTGATCTTCTGCTGCTGACCTGCTCTCTCACACCACGAGGCCACTCTGAGTAGATGTTCGAAATGTGCTTGTGTCAATACAGACGAGCCAAATGGTCTGTGTGTTTAGACTCTTCAATGGAACGACGCGGGGGCTTTGGTGGCTTATAATGGGAACACTAGCGTGTGAAATATGTTATGCATAGGAGGCAGGCGAGTGATACAGCAAAGGGCCACTATTTGGCACAGAGTCCAGAGAGTCAGCAATATAAAGAGGACCAAAGTAAACAAGGTGCTGACATTCAGTTTTGGCCCAGAAAACCAAGAGTAAAAGAAGCTGTCCACAGTCGACCAAGTGAGATGAAAAGAGAGGAGAGTGCCAAGATACACCTCGGTAACCAAGCAGAATGAATCAGTCTATTTTAGGTCTCCAGAGCCTCGCTTGCCTTCCCCATATTGTATATTACAGGGTTTTTTTTGTGTGTGTGAAAATGTCATGAGAGTTAATGTAAAAGCTGCAATAAAATGAATTCATCAAAATGTGTCCAGAGTTACTCAATCAGTCCATAAAATTCTATTTTAAACAGTATATGTGCATTCACTCCTCTTTGATGCAATTAACTGCACCCAAAGTTTATCACGCCTTTTCTGCCACCAGCCAGCAGGTGGCAGCAAAAGGGTTCTGTCCCATCAACTGAGGCATGAAGACAAAGATCCTGGTTCGTCATGTGGTGGTGGTGAGTTATTGAACTTGATGGAAACATTTGAGGGTGGAGTTACAGAGAGAGCTGGTAAAAGACAAAATAACAGATTGACAGTGGATCTTTGCAGGAGAAGCTGAGAGTTCAAGAGCTTGGATCAAAACAGCCTGACAACAAAATAAGCCAACTTCCAATGAATTGCACAGGACCCTATGAAGACACCGTGTCTCATCAAGTTGCGTGTTTCGGCTAACTTAAAACCAGAGAAGCTGTTTCTGCAACACCCGGGGACAAAATTATAAAAATGATACTTTTATTTTGCTCAGACCGTAAAGAGTAAATTTGGTGCCTGAATATATAATGTCTTTTTCTTGAAACTCAATAAAAATGGACACAGTTTTGGCACCAAATGTATCATGGTATCATGTTTTGGGATGAAACAATAGTCTGCTCTCTGATAACTAACTACTGCTCTGATTTTAGAATATTAAACCTCTCACCCAATTAAATTTTAGTTGTTGGACATAATTTAGTGCATCCAAGTGTGAAAGTAATAAAAGTGGTTTTTAAAGTTGGGTTTAAGTCTTTTGAAAATCACAAGTAGGAGACAACTCTGATGAAAACAGAAGCTCCAAAAGAAAAAGTTTCCATCAGCGTAACATGCTAAGTAAAGTATGGCAGGTATGGCCATGAGAATTATTTGGAAATGGGGAAAATGCTTTCCAACATCCAACCCTAATAAATGAAACTTGAACCAGGCAGGGCAAAACTTGTGGATTTAAAACTTGGCTTTTCATTCAGTTTACACAGTTTAATGAAAACTCCATCAACTCACTTAGACAGAAATGCATTAAACATCACAACAACAGAGAAAGGCACTATTATTTTCTTTTCCATATATTCTATTAAAATGTAAACGATGTCTTTATGAGTGGAGGCTCTGTGGTTCAGTCCTTATGTTAATTATCATCCCGAGAGCACGGGTAAGTCATTGCTTGTGACAGCAGAAATATTAAGAGCAAGTGGTGTGGAAGTCGCAAATTATGAATAAAACATAACGTGTCATGTTTGACAATTCCATCACTGCTAATAAAAGCGTGGGCGTGCTGAGCTCTCTGCCAATCCTCACACTGACAGCATTAATTGAAATGGCAGCATGATTAAAAATCCAATTAATCATGCCGCCCTAATGGACAGAAAATGTAAAAACTGTGGGTTGACCTTCAAAATGGAATTTCTTCTTTTGCTTTAACACATTTAGATGAAAAAAAAATCCATACATAAATATTTCTGTCCTTTTAAATTAATTAAGGAGGGACATTGTTGGTACCTCCAGACTGACCTGCAAACAATTATTTAAGGTTGAATGGTTTTTGACTGACCAGCCAATTTAATTATGAACACTCATTTAGGGATTAGGCCATTACAGGCACGCGCTGTATGTAATTTAATGCAAGGGGATTTGATGCAAGTCTAAACACTTCAAGTAATTCAAACGAATCCTAAAAGCAGCTGCAGAAAATGAAGCAAGTTTTGGTGTACGAGACACGTTCACAACCTTCTCAGTTATCTTGAAGGTGAGCAACAATGAGAAAACCAGTGCAACCAATATTCCAAAACAAGTACAGTATTTTACCCTGACAATGGTGCTCTAAGAAACAAGACCTTATTCCTGTGCCCAAAGCATAACAAAGTGGACCAGTCTAGCAGTGACACTTTTTAAGACTTTCCTTCCTCATTTAATCAACAACAAAGCATTTAATGAACAGAAGTATATACTGTTAAATTAAGAAACCTTGTGAGGTGCTGCTTTCATTGAAAAGACAAAGTGATTAGCGAAGATGGGCGATGCAGGTTACAGCAAATTGGTTTGGCAGTATCAGCGAGAAAGACATTGACAAGTGCTCATAATTCATGTTCATCTAAGGCTTTCTTTGAGAGAGAGAAAAGCAATGCCTCTGTCTCCACATGTCCACTACCAATAACAACAGTGTGTCATCTTCCAATAGAGTATCTCCACACCTTGTGCTAGTAATTCTGAATTCTATTGACAAAATCCATTGACTTATCAAAAACGTGTGACCAGACAACCTCCTTGAAGAATACAAAATATGACAGTTTAAGGGTCCGGGGTTAATCTGCTGGTCGAATATGAATGTTTTAGTTAATTGAAGAATATATGTTGTAGGGTGACCATATTCTGAATCCCCTAAAGAGGACACGACTACACGGGGGCGGAGTCATGGAGTTGCGATTAGTAAATTTTGAGAGTTTTTCGGATCGGTTAAAGTGTTTTTTACGTGCTTCTAACTAAGTTCGTCCACATGAAACAAACTCAAAACTTCCATCCAAACACCCGGACATTTGAAGGATTTTATAAAGTCCCCGGACAAGGCCGGACAGCCCCCCAAAAAAGAGGACATGTCCGGGTAAAAGAGAATGTATGGTCACCCTTTGATAACATAACAAGCCCGCTGAAACATGGAAGTTAAACAGAAATGTGTAAGCTGCAGTTGTTTTGGGGTCTCAAATGTCAGCGTATCACTTTTGTAACCAGCTGTCTTTACTCACTTCTTCCTCTGTGGAGGCTCTATGCGTCAGAGATGATGGCCTGTAAACATTGCGCATTTCCATGTAAACATTTAAGTGTCTGTTGTTAACACAATACCCCTGAATAAATACAAACAAAGTGAATAAGTTGCTTCTGAAACAATTAAGGGAATAGGCCTGTAAGTAGAGGTAAAAAATCCAAACATGGCCAACTTATGTAGAAATCCTGCCTCTAATCAATTTCTTAAAGTATCCAGTCTTTCATTTAAGTGTTGAGTATCATGATCTAAACTTGGCATCTTGAAGTCAACATTTTGGTACCATGACAACTCTACTGGAAAGGTGACCATTAATGAAACCAGAGAGAGCTTCACATTTGTAGAGAAATGACACATTGCTGAACATCAAAGCCTGTACACTGGAAACCAATTAAACAAACTCTATTTCTAAGCATGACTGAAAACTCTAGGGGAGCATGTAAACCCTTCTCCATTAAAAAGCAAAGAAACCCGCTCTAAATCCCTTTCAGCACATGCACAGGTACTGTGTCAATCCATCTGATCGATCACTGGAGATGTGAGACAAAGCCTAATCCCATCTTCTCCCCTGACATCGACCTCCAGCCCCTGATTTGATCCTGTTTCCAGGATGAGCCTGATTCCTGGGCTACTGACACACAAACCGTTTACATCCCTGGAAAAACTCATCCGGACACATCCAGCTACAATGGCGTCACGCTCGGATTGGCTCTGTGAGCACTGTCATGGCCTTTTGAGCACGAAGAGGGGGCTTTGGGTGGCATGGGCTGTGAAATAACAAAAAGAGGAGGAGGAGAATAAATACACTCAGTGGTGTGTTTACTGTCTGTTTAGCACTCTAACACGATCCAGTTTGCTTTAAGCGATAAGCAGCTGCGATCAACAATAACACCAATCAGAACTGCAACGAACAGGGGAAACATTTGTCATCACTTTGCAGATCTTCACACTGATTTGTGCGGCTGGTTTCATGTGATTGCTCCATTGTCTTCCTCCCTCTGCAGACAGAAGATGAAGTCTATAATCGTACCTGGAGGCTAAAACGTTGTGTGTGTCTGCTGAACTCAACAATCATCCCTTTTAAGTCAAAAAAGCCGACCGCCCCCTTTTCCAGCAGACACTTCAGAAAAGCAAACAATCGGGTCCAGGAATAGCAGCCTTATTGTTGCGTCCCTACCATTTTCATAAGGGCTCTCCACTCTTCAGGCCCTCCTCCCTGGGTTTCAATCCAGACCTGAATGAGGCCCAGACAAAGAGGAGCTGTCAGTGGTCCTCTAGACGAGGTGGATTAAGCAGAGAAATGAAGACCTGTCGTAGACTTCAGCCAAATAGACTCCCTGTTTCTAAGCTGCAGTGGCAAGGAGCCACATTTCTTTCATGACGGCCTTTTAATGAGCTCTAATTAAATATCCGTGGGCTCAGCATTTGTGCGGGGGTAAGTGGTGCATCGCTGGCCACCTAAGACCAGAATAACAAGAAAGTGGAGAGCTAAACTCTCAAGGGATAACCTGCTGGAGCCACCCTGTCTTTCTCTGCGTGACTTAAACCAGTGCTGGACTGGAAATAGAAACAGTTTGCATGAGAGGCTCAATATGACGATGGGTACAAGCCAAACAGAACTGATTATTTTAGCTCTGTATCTTAGAGGGGAAAAAAAAAAGATCTAGATGAACAAAAAGATTGAATAAATGTCTTCACCTCACCACCAATAAAACTGCCTCATGTAAACACTTCAATCAAAGGAGACTGGTCCGATCCGGCCTGTTCAAAAAGGAATTTCATTCTGGTTCAAAGTTGCGGTGTGTGTTGTTTGTTGAGCCAAGAGTTTGGCTTTCTGGGTGGGCAAACAAAACTAGTCTGTGACCGGCACAACTTTTTTTTTCTGGAGCCTTTGAAAGAACTCGGTATTGTCGAATGTCTCAGCGGTCAAAATAAAAGATATTAAAAACAGACATCCATTATTGTAGATGTGACACAGCAGGAGAATGAACTCTCTGGTGCACAGAAAGGGGATCGAGTGAAGAAGCAAAATGTAGAAGCACACAGCGATGGTTACGATATACTTGTTTACACATTATGTACACTGACGTAGCAACAATGGTTATTAAATGGATTTATTTTGATTTCATACTTAATGCTTGTACATTCACCTCAAATAAATTTCTATCAATTTCTGGTATCCGTATGTCATTGAACATGGAAAAAAAGAATATGTGAGAGCTTAAGACTACATTCACACATGCCCGGCTATTTTCATAAACGGACATTTCATCCTCTCCGTGCATGCACACCACTACGTTTTCAGAAAAGTTTTCGTTTACACTAACCCGTGTGTATATGCCATCAAGAGCAACCAGTAGGTGGCGGTGTAGCGAGAAGCTCAAGCCCATGTTAGCCAATCAGAATCCCTCACAGCAGCAACAACAATGTCACTTCCTTCTTTCCAGCATACAAAATCTCTATTTGTCTCTGTTTACATGCAAACGTGCAAACAGAGTTTTCCAAAATCTTCACTCTGGCCGGAGTTTTTCAAAAGCATCATTTTTAGGGGCGAATTCTCTGTTTGCGTCTAAACCAAGGGTGCAAACAGTGGTTAATTTCTCAGTTTTTAAAAATATATTTTTTTTTTATACAGGTAATCAAAGGCACTGTAAGTAGTTTTTTAGTTGGTTTAGAGACAGACTGAAACTGACCCTGATGCCTCTTTGTAACCTTCAAAAGCAAACGAGACCTTCAGCAACACAGCTGACGTAATTTCTAATGCCTGAAGCTGCTTTAAGGAGGTGGCTGTCAGACACGATTGTTCACAACATGCAGAACAAAAAGACTTTTTTCTCCAAATACTCTGTGAGTGATAAGGACAAGAGACAGGGGGTATCATTTTGTCCACAGGGGGCGCCAGAACCAAGGGAAACCAAAAACAAAAGTCACACCATAGGGACACAGAAATTGCTTAAATCTGCTTTGAGGTGAATCTCCTCAAAAGAGTACAAGTAACTGTCCAGTCCTGATTCCTGCCAACAGGGACTTAAGAGCCTCTTTCCAAACTTTGCCGGTCATATTTTGGGTCCAAAACCTACAGCTGTATCTCATAAAATAGAGAAACACTGTTTTCAACTTGGCAACGGTGGAGGAGGCTTCTTGACAGCTGGTTTCCAGAATGCTTGGGTGGTCCTTAAAGAGGCGGTAGCTCTAAAGGAAGCAATCTGAGTTGTAAATAAAGCTACAACAAGACAGAAGAGCAATACAAAGTCTAAACATCAAAATAAGATTTGAAACGTGGAGCTAAACAATTTTTTTTAACTTGAACCTAAACTGAGAACAGCCGATCTTTCCCACCATCGTAGTCAAAACTTAAAACGTTTACTGATAGTTACATCAAATATATAATAAGTCAACAAGTAAAGAAGTTAAGTGCATGCCAGTGAGATGCAGTCACTCCCAAAACTTAATTTACTTCGGTGTTCTTTCCCAAATTAAGGCATGAAATTGGAAACCAAAATGTGAAGGCATGCGTGCTGTTTCCCCTAAACTAATTTTGCAACTAGAACCCTGGGAAGGATCACGATGTCCAACATGTACGTGTAGAATAACAGGGAAACAAAACCCAGCTGTAATGTAATTTACTGCCCTTTATCTGTAATGCAGACCACTGAGAATTGTGGGAGGAAGAGTTTCTGTGTTACAGTAAAAGTGAAGGCCCCGAAAAGTCTCGCTGCGGAGCTTCCGATTCATCATTTTGTGTCACATTCCTGTGCACAATCCGTGTGAGCACCTTCCAGCTAGTGTGATTCCTTCCGCCTGGCTGTGTTTTATTCATGGCTGCCTCTCTCTGCACCATTAAGCAGCTGAGGCACCTCTGTACCAGGGGGATGCATGGAGTATTACATTTAGAAAGCAGTTACTACCCATACTGCTAAAAGGAGATATATCACATTGCTGGAGGAGCTGGATTATAAATAGTTTACGGTATAATTGATACAAAGGACTTATAGAGAAGATATGTTCTTTGTTACAGTGCAACAGTGTCTTTTATCATTTTGCTTCATGATTCACCAAATATTCTCAATATGTGACCAGCAGGGACTTCAGGCAGGCTAGTTTAGCACCTGTTTAGCATGCTGTTTTATAAGTGCAGAACGTGGTTTGGTTTGTCTCGCTGTAATATGCGAGGTCGTCTTCGAAAGGAGCATTACCCTGGTGACAGCATATGTTGCCCCAAAGTCAGAACTCAAGCATCCCCGCACCATCATGGCTGCTATAGCTTCAGAACTGTGCATACATAAAGTCCTTCTTTACAACAGAGGATGCAGAATCTATTATTTCCAAAAGTAATGTCAAACTTCGATTAATCAGGCTGCAGGACACTTTCCTCCTCCACCCAAGTCCATCTTGAATAAGCTCAGATATTTCTGGATCAAGTTTACATACGGGGTCTCCGCAGGTTTCAACAAGTCAAATTTAAGACTTTTTAAAGACTGTAATTAAAACAGATTAAAAAGTACAAAAGACATGAAGGGAAACCAGAACATTTAACATGACTTCAAATCAATCTTTATTCCTATGGCATTTCTTTGTAAGTAGAGTTAATATATTTTTTAGTCCTTTCAAAATCGTACGTAAGAAGTTTTATGAGATTTTAAGAGAATTTTAGACATTTTAAGACCTGTGTAAACCCTGTACATATGATTTTCATAGTTTTTGGTTGTGATTTTAAGAGAAAGCAGTGATTTCTACTACAGAGCCATGCTTTTTTTTAATGCAGCGCAACCAAAAGCACAAATATTACAGCTAATTAGTATTATTTTTTTAAATCTTGTCCTAAATCTGGAATTGTTGAACCATATGCTCACATGGAGGTGAACCTCTTCCCATCTTTCCCTCTAAAAGCCTCTCTGGAGGCGCAGCCATCTCCCTAATCTGATGTAAATCAACCTCATTAACTATCTAGTGTTTTGTTGTCTCTGCCCTAACGTTTCAGCACATGTTGCTGGATTCAAATTTATAGTTATCCTGAATAATTTTCATAAAACAAATCTGATTTTATTAACATTTTGCCCTGCACTCTAACCTTCATGGATTAGGGCCCTTGAGATTGGGACTGATGTTAAACAAAGCATCCATGAGAGGGGGCTTCGGTTTTAAACGGACCTCCACTTCTCCTTCACTGACATTCAGTTTCAGTGTGAGCTCTGCTGCTCTGTCATAGTTTTCTCTCCCTGTAGGTTACATTACTTTATATATGACTATAGTCTCTTCCCGTCCTGCACAATCTTTGCTTATTTTCTCAAGTATTCCTCTTTGTTTTGTTTTGCTGGACTAGCTCCAACTGTTAACTACTCGCCTATATGAGTATGCATACAGTTTGTAGAGCTTAAATGAGCTCTTATTCGGTGAGGGAAATAGTTGCCTGTGATCTTCTGTGACTCTCCAGGAGTTAAAATCCTGAGGTGTCTTCATAAAGGGTATTTGATGAATACAGCTGAAACATAAAGCCTGTGTTATAAACTTGTGTTATAGTGACTGACACTTCTTCAATATGAATCAAAACAACTTAAGCGCCCGCTTATCAAGGCTGCCTCTGGCGACTCTCGCAACTTTTAAATTGAGTACTATATTATGACTGTAGTACTCCTTTGAAATAATTTCCAAGTTTCAGGCTCCCTTCTGTCAAACGTCCTCTTGTCAAAAAGAAATCTGCCATAAATTGGCAGCTTGAAATGCTGCTCTTTGAGAAACTGTAAGTGCAGGGAGTTTTTGTGCAATGTGTCACAATATTGCCTTCTCCGTCTATTACGCTTTGCCTTTTCCACAGAGCTGCAATCTAAAACTACTTACCCGCACAAAAACTTCTCATAGTCTAGCCAGTGAAGTAAATCAGTCGCTGAGATTATTTCTGCTTGAGCAGCTGAGAAATGTTCCTAATTCTAAACTCCACTAAATGAGCATTTGGCTCACAATCTGTGGCTTACAGCTGCTGACTTTTCCCATGAATCTCCCTCTAAGTACTTGTACTGTTGGAGTTATATTTCTGTTAATGTTCTATCGCATTATTGTTTATGGGATGTTTTGATTCCCTCTGCTGATACGTGGAGGAGGAGAAGTGGAGAAAAGGCAAAAAATAGATTTAATAGGGAGAGAATAAAGGAGAAACAAGGGGCAGAGAGAGAGAGAGAGAGAAAGACAGAGGGAAAAAAAGACGCCTGCACAACTTGCACAGCTGAAGATCTGTCTCATGACTGAAACATTCAGGGGGATCAAACATGCCCACACTGCAGGGATTCCTTTCCCAGAAAAATCTTGCAGCTTCAGCAGTGTGAGAGGCATGCATCAATAGAGCATTGTATCAGCGTGTTGTGATCATATTGTGCTGCCTCATGGAGCCGCACTAATCATACTGGGGAATAACGGGAGAAGTGGTAAAACAATACCGTTGATTCTCAGCGTAGTGGTGGAGTATAATGAACCTCTGCATACCATGAAACTCTAAGTACATACAAGCAAAAACAAAGGAGGTTGCTCTTCTTATAGATGGAGGCTACAATCCTCCTCTTGTTCCCGTTGCTCTCAGCTGGCGTGACTCATATCGAATGAAACATTTATTAACAGCCTAAAGAGTGCCTAAAAGTGCAAATACCATGGTAAACAGAAAAAGCCTGTTGTGACGAGTTATCGCCTTATTTAAGATATCCAAATAAGGGATTTTACGTTGTAAAGACAGGAAATTGTGTCTCGTTCATTTAGAGTCGCAGCATTTCAGAACATTTCAGTTTTAGGGAGCGTTGTCTAACAGTTAAGTCATGTACAGACTGAAAAGTCAAGGTTTCAGCAATATCAGCCACTGGAAACACACAGATTTTTAGTGTTGATGTTATACAGGGATAAGAAGTGATTAGATTTCTAAAAATTGTTCGTCTGCCTCCTTAACGATTCTGCTTATCGGTTTCCTTTACATATCTATGCGAGAAGTGTGTTTTGGTTCAGGAGTTTTCAGCATGGCGTCAGGGCAAAAGCACTCCAGAGTTTGACTGTATTTGACTTAAAAAGGTGATACCAGGGCTACTTGCAACACTTGTATTAATGTTGTCAAAGGGGGGAAATATTTGTCCACCCAGCATGCAATTACTTTGCAGCGGTGGAACGTGTTTGATACGCTACTTAGCCAAGGTGAGACTGGTACAGGCAAAAGCAGGAGCAGAGCTAACGTCTCGGCATCATCTGCTTTAAATGCTGAAGGTAACGTTCAACTCCTCCACGTCTTGTCTGTTGTGTAGATGTTATCGCCACGTTAGCTCCCTTTCACTGTATTAATGCTCTCCATCTCCTTAAATTACATTTAGATAACGACGACTGCGAGAGTCATACTAGCTCAGAGGCTAGCTCTCACACTGGTTCTGAGCCTGCAGCGGGTGGCACTCGCACACCTTTCGCTGCCCCTGTCATCGAGGCAGGGGAGAGTAAGATGACAGAGGTGAAGATAAATGAATGTAACACAGCTGAGAAAAACACTTTAAAACTAAAAGGTCAATCGATTACAACCTGTGAGTCATCTCTGCCTGTTGACGCTGTGGCAAAAACTTTAGCCTCGGTTCGCTTCTCAATCAGTAAACATGGCAAATTTAGTTTTTATTGAGGTTTGGGAATAATGATAGTTAGAGGGCACAGACAAGAAGAACCTGAGAAGCTAGTAGGCCCTACAAATTTCATTAATTTATATAATTTTCGTAAAGACTAAAAAGCAGTGGTCCTAGCACAGACCCTTGGGGAACTCCTGCAACAGAGCTGAAGGAGCAGTCTTCTGTCTTTTATGATCAATTTTACGGGGACAGAAAGACTACTTATTTAAAAAAAAAAGAGCACCAATCTGAAATCAGCTGTTGTTGCATAAGATGAGAAGACCTACAGTTTGTCTCCCAGGGCCTGTCTGCCTCACTTTACATTAAATATACACCGAACAGCAGAGTACCCAGGGGACGCTGCTGCCACTGTCAAACAGATATAACCTCCTGTTCATCAAAGAAATGATGTTTGACTTGCTGCAATGTCATTTCTTTTCTTGTCTGCTTCTCCATACAAGGAATATTAAGATCAACACAACAAACAGCTCTGTGCATCAAGATAGTTAATGTGTGTATCCCTCGTTACACTTAACAAACTTAAAACTGACAAAGACAAGTTTCAATGTGGGAGGGAAAAAAAGCAGTTTTCGTTTAGGGTTCATCCTCTTCCCGGTGTAAGATTCATCGAGGCTGGGAGCTTGTACAGTATCTAAAACAATCCTGGGACAGCAAGACAGAGAGTGCACTCCTGCTGTTGCTAACACTGGCCAGAAACTGGAATGCGGCGAAGGTCAGATTCCATTAGAGCCGTGTTATACAAGCTGAGGTAGGTGGGAGGGCACAGAGGAGGGCTTTCACTCGCTTGCCTTGCCGACTTCAGAAGCACCACAAATTCCTCAAGGGTATTTATCTGTAGCCAGGTGATTTCCAGAGCCCAACATCATCAGATTGAGCTATGAAGGAAAGGAAAGGAAAGGAAAGGAAAGGAAGGGCATGTAGCCTGGGGAAGGAGAGGAAAGGATGAAAGGAGGGAAGGATGAATGTAAGAGAACAGTTTATCTGCTCTTAGATGATCCCCAGTTTAAAGTTGAAGGGAAGGAAATGCTCCTGTTTACTGTTGTTGGTTTGAAGGGGGCCTGAGGGGGTTAATATCTATGGAAGTTAGAAAAAAGAAGTGTTTTTGTACTCAGGTGATGTGGGAGGGGAAAAAAAGAAACCGTTTATATGTTTCAAGGTTATGTTTTCACTTATGCTTATTCCCTGTTTGGCCCTGAGATAAATTCTAAAGGTTTGTTACTCAGAAATACACACAGGTAGCTGTTCACTTTCAAAGAAAATAACCTTATTCAAATGTATCAATATGAAAACCCACGTTTAAAGTGTGAAAAAGAAGAAGAAGAAGAAGCTACAGCGGTGATAAAGACAAGAAGAAGAAGCATGGTCACATTTCACTCAGTTTCTGCAAATATATAAACTTTTACTGAATTCTGCAGAAATGAATCCAAGTATCTTTTTTAGATAGACAGTGTGCAAAGTTGTCGAGAGAGAGAGAGAGAGAGAGAGAGGAAGGAAAGGAAAGAAAAGTGTAAATCGGGGGCAAATGTAAAATAAGAAAGAAGATAAGACATGGCAAGAAGAGATGGGTAAGGGGTGAGAGCAGATGAAACGAAAGGAAGAAAGGGGAGGGAAAGGAAAAAGAAAAGGAAAGGAAGGGAAAGGAAAGAAGAGCAAAGGAAAGGAAAGAAAAGGTAAGGAAAAGAAAGTTTGGAAAAGGAAAGGACATGGAAGAAAAGGAAGGGTAAGGTAAGAAAAGGGAAAGGCAAGGCAAGTTATGGAAAGGAAGGAAAAGAGAGGACAGAAAAGGAAAGGAAAGGACAGGAGGGGAAGGTAAAGAAGAGCAAAGGAAAGGAAAGAAGAACGTAGAAAGAAATGGTTAGGAAAAGAAAGGTAAGAAAGGGAAAGGAAAGAAAAGGAAGGGTAAGGTAAGAAAAGGGAAAGGCAAGGAAAGATCAGAAAGAAAAAGAAACGACTTAAAAGAAAAGGAAAAGAAGGATGGGCAAGCAAAGAGCAAAGGAAAGAAAAAAGGTAAGAAAAGGAAAGGACAGGAAAGCAAAGAAGAGCAAAGGAAAGGATAGGAAAAGAAAGGGAAGAAAAGGAAAGGAAAGGACAGGAGGGGAAAGGAAAGAAGAGCAAAGGAAAGGAGAGAAGAGGTTAGGAAAGGAAAGGAAAGGACAGGAGGGGAAAGGAAATCAGAGCAAAGGAAAGGAGAGAAGAGGTTAGGAAATGAAAGGTAAGAAAAGGAAAGGAAAGGAAGGAAAGGACAGGAAAGCAAAGAAGAGTAAAGTAAATGATAGGAAAGAAGGGATAAGTACAAGGAACAAAAAGTAGTTACGAAATGAAAGGAAAGGAGAAAAAAAGGAGAAGCAAATGGGAGGGAAAGGACAGCTATAACACAGAAATTGTAACTGTTGAACGTGAACTTTGGTCTGAACACCTAAGAAATGTGAAGCTGCATTGACTGAACTAGGAAGTCTGAACTAGGAGGAGAAGAAAGGAAGGACGCTAGGAAATGAGAGCACAATAATATTCCCAGTAAACCATAATGCATTTCAACCCCATCATAAACCTCAACCTGACCCCAGCTCACAAACACACACCCTCTGACACACACACACAAACACACACTCTTTCAGTGTGTATCCCACATCAGTGCGGTCCTTGTGTCAGAGGATACAATGCTATCTCTGATGTCTAATCCACAGCAGCGCGGGGATACTGTGAGGCTCATGACACAAATTGAACATTTCTACACGGCGAGCCCGAGTGCAAGGACCAGACTTAGCCTATCAGAAATCTAAATGACGTGTCCTTTGTGCCAATTCCTGTGTAAGTTCAGGAAATGGAACACAGGATTGTGGGAGACATCTATTTTATGTTCTAAACCCTTCAATAAAACTCAGGCTCCTTTTATCCCCCCCACCGTCCAAACCTCTGTGATAACAAAGGAGCGTCTCTGTTTGTGGAGCCGACTGTGCCTCCAGTTTGATGCATTGAGACATTAGCATTTAGATAACCCCTCTGAATATGGGACGTGAGGGAATTGAAAACAGGAACCGAATAAATACTCTGAATAATCAGAAGTTACATTTTGAATTAACATAACTTTGTTTTTTTTATCCTTTAAAATAGGAAAAGACCAGAAACAACAACTGAAACATCTGGTTTGTTTTTCCTCTCATGCCGCTCTGCTTTCAGACCAAACAGATAGAAAACAGAACTACAGGGAGCGCAAATAAAAACAGTGGGTGTTTCATAAAACTATGGGATGCTTTGGGCTCAGGTTTACTTTATGAAACCACAGATGATTGTCAGTCATGAGTCAGAAACAGTCCAGTAGTTTGTACAAATGAAATAAAGGTCCCTTTTTTAAACAAGGACATGGTGAGTGCATGCTTCCAGCTCTAAACAGACATAACCTTGCGGTGCATTCTTGCAGCATATGCAAACTGGGATCACATTTTATTATATTTCTGCAACCCGATTTTGCAACCTAGATTTTAATGTTTCCTTATTTGGTCACCAAAGACCCTTAGATTAAAGCTTGACATGTTTAAGTTTATCTGCATGAAGAGACAACAATGAATTACTGTATCTTGGAGATTTGCACATTTAGTTGACTAAAAAGTTAACATTAGTATTGTTGGCTTGAAATATTTGCCATAATCTCTCAGCTGTGGTGCAGCCATGTGCTGCTGCCAGGGTTGTAGCTCCAGTTGTTGATAAGTTACGCTATAATACTCTACTATCTAGATGTAAACAAGCATGGGGGATGGATGGTATCATGGTCTGGGAAAATGGGAACAACGTCCCACGCAGAGTGTGTGATAACAGGCGTGTAACTACTCGACAGAAGCAACGTATAACCAGCACAGTCACGTAGATATTAGTGGTGTGACATATCATACCCTGTACGGTAATACCGGTGTACATTTTTTGGCGATATAAATTTGCCATATCGCAGTATTTACACTGTAGGGACCATAGACTGTATATAGAATGGACAGCGTCTGCCTCCTCGCTGGGTGAAACCACTCTGAGAACAGCACCCTCTGTTGGCGGGCTGCAGTATAGGTCATAAATCCTGCCTCTGCCAGCAAAGCTAATGGGGCTGTGTACAAACTTTAGAAATGTATTACACAGAAAATACATTTTTCTCCCTCTTGCTTGCGATGTTGACATGTAGTCTCTGTAAGACTAGTTTGTGATCAAGTCCTCTTTTTTCTGAGCAGCTCTGTTTTTAAGTTATTAGGGGATTCATATTTTCTATAATTGACACTTGATACAGCCTATGGATGTACGAAGATTCCGTAGCTCACATCATGACAGCGACTCTCTGTGACTCTCCGAATTTGTACAACGCTACTACCCAAAGCATCCCCTATCATTCTTGACCCGGCTTTTTTAGCTCTTGTCCGGTCTACCTCCTTTTTAAACGCCCGTTATTCCGCCAGAGTCTCCGGTATTTACTTTGTTTTCATGCTTGTGTTGGCAGTCGTGGCTAAAGGAGGATTCAGACAGTTTCCCGTCTCCCCTATATCACAAGAAAGCTGGTCTTATACAGCTGAAGTAAACCAGTGGAGCGTCTGTGTGCGTTTAACTCGGACCAATTTGAAACCGATTCACGGACACTTCCTCAGGGGAGTAATTGCCCAATAAATAAAAGAATTGACGCTGCAGATGTGAAGACAGCACAGAGAAAGAGGTCTTGACCAGCAGTTGCTGGACCCTACATTGGATTCCCTGAAAGGCTGGCCTATGTAGCTTCTCATTAGACGATAATAGCTGAGGATGGTACAGAGATAAATGTTTAAAAATTTGTAATATATTCATAGAAATGAAATGATTCCAGCCTTTGACCTCCATAAAAACACATATCACCCCTGACAGGCTTCTCCTAAAGTTCATTTTCATGGATATGGCCGACTTTGCCTGATTCAAATTGGTAATTTAAAGCCTTAAACAGAGGTATAGGACTAAGAATGAAAGTTTGAATTTTTATAGAGGAATATCCCTTCATATCTTTGTCTTTTAAAGAGGTCAGTTTGCAAACCGATTGTGCACGCTGATCTCACGGGTCTGTGAGTTCTAGCTCTAATTCATCACTCATGATTCTCCCCCAGCGCTCATACATTATTTTCACATCCAGGCCCTTTATTTGATTTGAGTCGCCAATCAGGGTGTGATGAAAATGGCTGGAGCCTCACTGAGATCAATTGAAGCTTCATGCTGAGAGAGACACGGCCAAATTTTCTCTCAGGAGGGCGATCCACTGAAGTCTGCTCTGAGGATGTTATTCTGCTAGTGGGACTCCCAGAGGTTTGGTACAACTTTTCAGTTAGTGAGAATCACAAAAAAAAAAAACAAGCCCTTTGAGTTCTTATTCATCAAAACCTTCCAAAATTTAGTGTGAATTTCCTCCTTTTGATCACATCCTGATTTTCATTTTTAGAACAGAAATTCACATTTCATTGGCAGTGCAGAGAAGAAGAGAGTCTGTGCTGCAGGGAGACCCCGAGGCAATCAGTATTCCAGTCACCTGCTGCACAACATAAAGAGCATGCTAGCAAGCTGTGGACAAAGACACCCCAACACACAGCCCACCAGTGCATGTAGAGCCACACACACACATCCACGCACACAAATACAATCACCCACACACATGCTTTCAAAAAAAGCTTCATTGAAATAAATTGCAGCCTCTCCGGCAAGCTGCACCTCCAGCACTTTGTTGGCTTCAGCAGCCTGCAGGGAGGGAGACAGGCTGAAGAGGGGCGCAGAGATCCAGCAACAGATGATTAAAGCTCGACAAAAGGTTGGGAAGACGTGACAACAAGCCTGCAAGTCACTCAGCAGGACGCAATATGAGCACCTTGCCCAGATTCCAGGTAATGGAGAAGACGAGAGGAGGGAGGAGGAGGAGGGAGGATGAGAGGGATAATAGAGTGATGTTACACAACACGATCAACTTTCAACATCCTCTTTGAAGTCCAGAGTCCAAATTTACCCCCTCAGAAAAAAAAGCCAGGCTGTTTTGGACAACATCCGTGATTAGATGGTATTTTCCCCCCGAAGCGCTTGAATAACAACAGGACGAATCAAGCATTCGAAATGAGTCCGGGTACGAGCACCCGAGGTTTGGAGGGCCTGTAGCGATGACAGGTGGTAGTTAACATTTCAAAGTGTAAAACCCTCTGAATTCCTGTGATATTTTTCTTTTTTTGGAGAGGGGACAGGAGGTGGAAAACAAACAAAGAGAAGACTCGAGGTAGACAAAGAGTTCACCTGGATGGAAGGTGGTGTTGTGGTTACGGAGGACGAGTGTCTGAGCTGTCACATGCTACGTTAGGGTGCAAAAACAGCTCTTGGTGTTATCACAAGGGCATTTTGTCATTGACACATCCACCACTGCTGGATTTATTATGCTTGAGTCCAGAGCGGCTATTACCATCGATAATTGATGGCCTGTATATGTGTGTGTCTTGAAAATGTGAGGCCGAATATGCTCATGTATTCATTCATGTGTGCATGTGTGTGTGTGTGTGCTCATGTTCATGCATGTATATTAAGAATGAGTCAGAGTGAGCGCGCTCCCCCCACCACCTCCTCCCGACGCCCTCCCTCAGCCTGTCAGAGCTATGGGCCTCTGATTGGGGGCCCTGGGCTCAGTCGCCACGGAAACTGCACCAAAGCAAACAAAGGGGTGGAACAGAGCCGAGGGAATACAGTGACACAAAGGGGCTACCTCGCACAGTGGAAGATTTCAGGAGAGACTCGCACAAAGAGCGCCGGGCGAAGCCGGAGTCGACGTCTCTTGTTGCGCTTCTTATTAACAACAAAAAACATCTGAACGCAATCTGCTGTTGTGCACAAGCCTGGAGATTTCAAATTAAACCCCCATCTCTTTCTCTTCCTCCTGCCTGCTTTTGGAATTGCTTTATTAACATATGCAAATGACAAGACTGGAGACGTGATTAGTTAGATTGCACAAATTTTCTGTGATTTTCCATGCGGAGCCCAAATGGAGCCGCTCCAAAGTCATTCCAATCCCACTCCGTCTTATCGCGGCGCATTTTGTCAATCAAACAGCAGTGCCTGACTTTGAAAAGATAAAGCTCTGATACCGCCTTAAACCCCATTCAGGCTCTGCTAGAAAGATGCATTATCACCAGAAGATGAATTCACACCAGCCATAACAATAACAATCAAACAATAAGGTGATTAAGATTAGCTGTTGTGTGAAAAACAATAACCCGATTAGAGCGAATTAAACTCCAGAATCCCAAACTAATAAAAAATCCATTAATAAGACGGAGGTTTTAAATATTTAACATGTCACTCCAATGATTCAATATTTCCTCCACTAAAGGAGCTGCTATTCCAGGATAAAACCAGACAGGAAGTCATTGTGCTAAAGCAGGGGATTACATTTTCTTAGAGGTCTGTGGTTGGTCCTGTCCACTGAGGCTCATTAAGAATGGCCTTGACATTAAGGGCCCGCTCTCTTTCAACCTGTTTGCGGCCATGATGCTAAGATCAAACAGAGTGCTATAGGTGAGGGCACTCTCAATGGCCTCAAGCTGGTCATTCATCCTTTTTAAAGACAGGAAATCAGGCTAAATGGAGCCCAGCACTCCTCCCTCTCTGCTGCTAAAGAGGCTTCACAGGCTGCAGAGTTTTTGCAGTAAAAGAATTTCAAGTGGCCACGGGCCTTTGAGGTGGAGCGCAGGACCAATAAAACCCAGGATTACTTGTGTCAAAGAAACACACCTGCATTTCATACACTGTCGGAGCTTTTTTTCCTAATCACTAACTCCAGGCTAGCAGAGATGAAATTCCTTTTTTTTTTTTGCAGGGGAAATTCAACCCAAAACAACTTCTTTTTTAGCTTATTTTTCCACATGTTTTTACTTGTCGAGTATGCATTTTCCAATGTTTATGCCTGTGTGGTTTGAATACCACAGGGGGAATAAAGGTCTTTTGTTTGACTGAGCTGACACAACTTTGACTTTTCAGCCTCAGAGTCTGTGTGCTGTAGTTTTCATCTTGTCCTTCTGTTCCTCTTTGCAAAAAACAGAAACTTTTACTTTAACAAATACAACTCCTACCAAATTGTTACCCTGTTTTTATTTAAAGGTCTAATACAATCATGATTTGTACAGAATTTATATTATTTTGCACAGTAGATCAAGTACCAATTAATGTCTGTGCAAAAAGAAACCAGTATTTCAGCACTGTGAGGTGTTCAGTCTTCCTTTTACTTCATCAAGGCTCATGAAAGAAGATCTATGTGATAACTTTATACTTTTCTCCTAAATTTAATGCAAGCATCAGCTGGTTATTGCAGTAGTTTAACACTCATGATTTGAAACCCACTGCAAATGCTGTGGCAACGTCACCTGACCTTAAGTCACCAGGGAAGACTTTTATAGAAGTCTGAACTCGGGATAGGAATTGTTAAGAACTTAGTGATTCCAATTCT